CAAGCTAGTCGAACACCTCAGTATTAAAAAAAATAAAAAAAAAATGTTTTAATCAAGAAGTATACTACATGAGGGGTAAAATGGTGATTACAAAAAGGTTGTGTCAAAATTTGTTTTTTCAAAAGTTTTTTGAAAATTGGGGCATTTTGTTACTCTACGAGAATCTTTGGTTGTGCTGGAATTCTCACTAAACCTGAACGCTGAATTTGTTATTCACTCCAGAATAAATAACCAAAAGAGGATGAATTTGGGGCACAGTGGTCATTCTACATTAAAACCTCTTAATATTGATGAAATTTTATCTATTTTCTCTATTTATTATTATTAGAAGATGCACGTATCTTGATGGAACATGAAGTTATATTTCTCCAAATAATATAATATAGGATAATTATAATTAATTAAGAAAATTAAATTAAGTTAAAATGGGTGTACTCAGTAAAACTTGGGGGGCAGTCAAAAACGGTTTTTGAAGCGCCTCCCGACAGCCCTTCCACCGCCTTAAACGGGACTATTAATATTTTATACTTAATTTTCCTTCACGAATTTGCCTGATTAACATCAGCCCTTCACTAATCCTTCATAAAACAAAAAAAAAAAAAAACTTTCTTCAATTCCAACCTATAGAATCATTTCATGTACGTAATCCAGAATTTTTTATTTATTTTTCTCAAATTTATTAATCTAATTAGAACTCTTTTACAAATCTTTTTTTTTTTTTAAAAGATTAAATTAATTAATTTTGTTGTTTTTTTCAGGATAAGTTTGATTGTTGAATGATGAGTTGTGTTCAGGGGATGGTTTTTGCAAGCCTGGTGTGATTCTGCCGAACAGGGCTCACTTAAAGAGCGTGCCGTGCACGACAAGGCGGGCATTGGTGAAGCTGAATGCAACGACGTCGTACCGCTATTCGTGCCTAAGTTTGAAAGGGCGGCAAAAACGAGGGGTTTTTGTGTGTTCTCGGAGGGAAAGACAGTCCGAAGACGAGGAAGATAAGAAGCCCTTTCGTTTTTAGTCTTTGTGCGTATTTGTTTCGTGGTGATTTGTAAATGATTGTAATGTGTTTGATCGGAGTTCTCAAAGAGATAGATAATGGGAATGTGTTTCTTGAATTCTTGTTCGGAATTATATAGAATTCATCCCTTATGAATTACATTTTGGCTTTTTTCTTGAGAGTCCCAGACGTGCTTCGAGTCAGTTACGTTGTTTTCATACGGGTGGGACTCCTGGGGTCCTCTATCTAGATTGCTTTATGCTAACCAGAAACCATTCACATCGGTCGTAATTGATTCTAGGTTTTGTTAAAAGATTTGGCTGGCTGGTTTTGTGGTATAATCTGTCTTTCTCAATGCTCTGGGTAGTTGAATTGCATAAACTTGGTGTTTTTGGGCTGGGTTTAGAAATAACCCTATTTCAAGTGCTTTTGGAGATACATGCCTCACGATATTCTTCACATTTAGCGTCATGGCATCCGAATGGACCAAAATGCAGTTTCCATGCTCAGCATTAAGTAGAGGCATTCCACATGGCTGTTGAGTGTGCTAGTTTTTTTGGGTATTTTTTGTTTGAAAGTATCGAAGTTGGCTAGATGTGCAAATCATATTGAGATGTTTATTTGAAAAAGTCCCCTAATTTTTTTTTTCCCAAAATATAAATATATATATCAGCAATATCTCTATTCACCTGTCTTTTTTATAGAAAATTTGATAGAGCATTCGTAATGGATTTCTCAGAGTTGCCACGAGGATGTTGATTTTCCACTAAATTTGTTGTTCAGTCTTTGTGGTGTTTTCATTATGTTGGAATGACTACATTGGAGTGAACTTGTTGTACAAAAACATAAAGCAATTATTGGTTTGTATTTTTATTGGTTTAAGCTCTAATGCTTTTGAGTTGGAGAGCAAGATTGAGTGTGTCTTGTTTAGTTTTATGGTAAATGTAAATGCTGCTTCTCAGATGTTGTGCTCTCTTTAACCATTGAGAGTTTCTTTTTTCTTCTATAGCAAGAGTGGCAGTTTTTACAATTTTTTTTTTTTTTTTTTTGTTTTGTTTTGGTACATTAATGAACAGCAGCATTGCAAGGGCACAATACGAAAGCCACTATTTTTGTTGGAAACATATACTATGGAGTCCCTTATCCAATTATTAAACCTGATATTCTACTTATTATTTTCATCAGAAACGACCATGGGAAGCTTTTGGAAAAAATATGGGAAATTTGGAAGGGCGTCAATTGAGGATTTGCTTCGGCAGCAGATCGAAAAGAAAGAATATTAAATGGAAGTGGTGGCAAAAGTCCGCCACGTGGTGGTGGTGGCGGGCGGCGCGGCGGCGGAAATGGTTATGGAGATTCAGGGGGATGAAACTGGAAAACGAATATTAGCAACGATTTTTGTCATACTTGGTAAAGTGATCGTTTTTTTCTTCTTCTTCGTACTTTATTTCAGTTTGTCAGAAAATCATCTTTAAGTCTTATTCTAAATACCTAATTCAGGCTGCATAGAAATGCAAATTCTTTACGTACGCTAAGTTTTGTAGTTTTTAGATAGTAATAATCGTGGGGAAAGGTGCAGATAATGGAAGTATCATTCACCTAAAATGCATATCAGAGCTAGAAATACTGTAAATCTCTATAAACTGATATCTGCATATTCAGACAAGTCACGTGAAACAAAATATTGAAAAGAAAAAAAAAAAATCGATAGCTGCTGCCCTAAACTAATATTAAACTGTCTCTAAAACCCAAGTTTCATTTTTATTGAAAAGCACTGTGTTTATATGGTATAGATCTGTTCGTAATTGATGGTCAGCATATTTCGAGGGTTCAAATGAAATAACTACAATGTTTGGCCAAATTTCAATAAATAATTTCGTGCACGAAAAGGTGGCATGTAAGAAATGGAGGATCATGTCTTATTGGACAGGTAAAAGAACAATTCCTGGCCTATAAAAGTTTTTGATCCGCCCATATTAATCACCAAAACTTTGTGAATTGTTATGTGGATATTCAAGTGTTTTATTCTTTGTCGTTTTATACTTATCTGCAAACATTTCATGCTACATCAGTATTGTCTTTTTTTTTTTTTTTTTTTTTTTTTTTTTAATATTATCTTAATGTTGCAAGACACCACGGTTCAGTATACAAGGGATCATCGCTGCTATGGCTGAAGTAAAACACTGCTGTAGTGTAACAAAATTGTTCTGAGAAAAAAGCGATTTATGGGGATTTCAGGTCTCCTACTTCAGAAATTCTGTATCTCATGCCATATTTATTACATTGCAGTACATTTGCTTCATTGATGGTGTTGAGCTGACTCGATTAACAAACGATTACATAAAGTATCTCCTTCGAGGAAAAAAGAGTGTCCGATTAAAGAACGCAATGTACAAGTGGGAAAGGTTCTGGAAAAGCCTGACAGAGAAGGTGTGTGAGAAGTTTCGGTTAGAGATGAATACCTCAACATGGTTCCACTGTCCCAATTATAGGCGTCTTCTTCGATCTTACATATCTTCACAAAATGATGCCCAGTAATCCAACATTTTCCCCCAAGCCCTGCATTATCCTCTTTCCCTGCTTATCTTGCATATTGCCTGCAACAATGAAGTGAAACTAGCATTAGCACTTGTTTTCTGTCCTTTGAGATGGTTCAAGAGACTGGTCAATATTTCCGTCATGTCATGTCATTAGCTAAAAAAACATTTTTGTGTATAGGAATGGAAACTTTAATCTACTTAAAGATGTAAGGCATGCATTGTATTTTGTCAATGGAAATTTTTTCTTTCATGTACCATATGGTAGAAACCTAATAAATTTATATAAAAGAGATGAATTTGTATGGAAATTTTCTGCTTACAACATTATTTTTATAGAAAAATCTATTTAAATGGTTTGTGACCTATCATGTGGTTTGCATTTTCGTTTAACAAAATTCCATAAGATACCCACTTGTTCAAATTAAACTCCAAAGGCCATTACCACCTATTTTGCAAATATTTGAGGGTTTAGAAAGGGTTTTTGTTTCACACTTTAGTTTCACATACAAAATAGGGGGATTTATAGAGCATTTTCAACGGTGCTTTTTATTTTGAAGAACATCTTTCATATAAATAAATAGCATTTTCATTAATTTTAAAATATAAAGAACACAATTTTTATTCAAATTCAATAGACTCTTTAAATTTAATAAAGATGCTCTTTAGTTTTAAGAAAGAGACTTAATGGGAGAGAGAATTAATAAATATAATGTATAAGATCTTGTAGTTTATTACTTAAAATTAGGATAGAGAATAAAATTTGACTCTTTAAATGACACTTTCCCACCCTTTAAGTTTTAAAATGACACTTTCCCACCCTTTATTAGCTTATGTTATGTTTTCTATTAATATTTTATTGAAAAAACAAAAATACTTTTAATATTTGACTTTATAAATTTTTTTATTATTTTTTAATTAACCAAAAATTCAAATATTAAAAAGTCAAAAAAGAAAAAAAAATAGTCAGCTCCACCTAAAAAGTTAAAGAGTAATGTTATGAAATTATTTAAAGTTAAATAACCTTAATATTTATTTATTTATTTATAATGTCATCCATGTCTCATCACTATTATTCAATAATCTACTAAATTTATAATGTTTTTTATGTTTATTAATTAACATAAAAAATCAATATTTTTAATTAATTAAATAAATAAAGGAAAAACACATTTGAAGTTTTGAACTAATAAATAATGAGTCAAGATTTTGACTTAACTAAATTTTAATTTATAATAAACTATTTAAAGGTATTTTCATAAAAACACTAACTGAACTTGGCGAAGGGTGAGAAAACGTTATTTTGAAACTTGATGCGTGGGAAAGTGTCGTTTTGCCAGACCTTGGGTGGGAGAATGTCATTCTCCCTTTTCCCAAAGTATTGAACATAGGAGGGACAGGTTTTACACTTAGGGGCACTTTAGTCAGAGAAGGTATACTTTGGTTAGAACTAAAGAACTATCTTCTTTAATCTCCTTGACCTCAATCTAGAAATTCTCGTTATCGTTTCGACTCATCGCCATAGCCACTTCACACTCTCCTTTCCTCCCTTCTTCAAAATCTCCAGTCTCATGCTGTCTCTCTCTCGATCATATAACTTTTACTTCTCTTCTGGTACGTGGGTTTCCCTACTTTGCATTTTTTCCCTTCTTTGTTTATTTTTTATTTCTTTTTTGAGATTTTTGAGCTTCTCAGCTCTCATTTTTTTGCGTTCCTTTTAGCATTTTTGCTAGAATTAGCAGACTGAATTCCTGTTTATGATTTTAGTTTGATGATTATGAACATATATCTATTTAAATAAATCTAATTGAAACAAAATGGTTTATGAAATTGTGAAAAGAATTGGTGAAGGGAGGCCTTTGGGTTTGTTTAATGGGTTAATGGTTTGTGGTTTTGACATTCAGGGTTTTTTTTTTTTTTTTTTTTTAATTAAAATTTATTAAAGTTTGGAATTTGAGTTTATCGCCTTGGCTATGTTAAAATCAAGTTAGAAATGTTGGATAAAGGTGAGATTTTTGAGCTGCTCACCTCTATTTCCTGCTCTTAATTAGATGATTATTAACTTATTTCACTGAAACAAGCCTATTTGGAAATAGTTGTTTTATGAAATGATGAAAAAATTGGTAAGGGGGAGGCCTTTGGGTTAATGGGTTCTGGTTTTCAGATAGGTTTTTCTTTTTCTTTTTTTTTTTTTTTTTTTTTTTAAGTTATTAGTGTTTTTAATTTCAGTATATTGCCTTTCTGGCTTTTTGTATGTTTAAATTGACTAAGAAATATTGATTGAGAGTGTGATTTTGAAGGCTCTATTGGGGCTTTGTCCATGGCCTCAAAACATCAAAACATAGTTCTAGGGTTATCGTTTAGCACTTCACATATCATTATGCTTGCAGTTTACTGAAATTTGATTTTTGTTTTGTTTGTTTAGGTTAATTTTATGTGGGATTAGGATTGGTGAAGAATGAGTTGTATTCAGGCTACTAGTGTAGGCAAGCCTTGTGTAACTCTCCCAAATAGATCCCAATTGCAGCTTGTACCTGGTACGACACATGGGACATTATTGAAACTAACATATAAGCAATGTGCACCTCGGTTAAAATCTTGGCAAGGAAGCACAGTTGTTTGCTTGTTTGGTGATAAAGACAAGTCTGAAGATACGGTAAGAAAGAAGCCCTTTCAATGTAAGTGTTTGTTTGTTGGTGATAATGTGTTTGATATAAGTTCATGATAGGATGGGAATGTACTTCAACTAGTTGGAATTAGCAACCCCTATGAATTAGTCAAGGGGTTAGGCCTGTGGCTTCCCTTCGTGAGGTATTCTCTTTGCCACTTACTAGAGGAAATGCCACTATTCTCCTCTGTAACTCAGAGATTATCATAGGGCTCAATGGGGATGCATTTTCAAGCTGGAATTTGCTAAATAGATTCAAGGGATTTCTATGTCTTTTCTAAATGAAAGAAAAGAAGGAAATACAAATGATTGGTTTTCTGCTGTTATTTCCCTTCTTGCAGCCACAAAGTTCTGATATTCTGAGTGGGCTGTCTCTTGGTTATGACCTGGTTTATTGATGATTGGAATTAACTGCATTGTAAATTGTAACTTTATGCACAAAAGTCCACCATAAAGTATCTTTTTTGTTTAAATAGAAAAGATAAAGAATTGTAAAATACATTTTCAGCTTGTCTATTTATTAGCATAAGCTCTATGCTGTTAAGTTTTAGAACAAGCTTAAGTGTTGAAGTACATTAACTTTATTCTTGATGCTAAATGTCTTGTTTATTCTTAGTGGTCAGTTGCATCTTATTGATGCATTCAATTTTACTTCTTTATGCACTGTTTATCCCTTGTGAAAACTTGTTTCTGTCATTGCAAGAATGTCTGCTTTTTTTTTTTTTTTTTAATTATTTTTATTTTGATATCAATTATTACATACTGAATCTGCAAAGGAATAATGGGAAAACCAATCTTTTGTTAAAAAATAATAATTAGAAAATAAAGAGGTCATTTTATTTTCCAAAGCTCACAGTATGGAGGCCTCACCATCTTGTTAGAGCTGAGAGGATGGTGCATGAGATGCTCAAATTTTTGTCGGAAAGTAGCGTTGCTGTCCATAAAATTATGTACATCTGACCATTTATCTTTCATCAGAAATCTCCGTGGGATGCTTTTGGGAAAGCTATGGGAAATTTGGGAAACTTCACTAAGGGACAGTCTGTAGAGGGTATGCTTCGGCAGCAGATGGAGAAGAAAGAATACTTTGATGGAAGTGGTGGCAAAAGTCCACCACGTGGTGGTGGTGGTGGTGGTGGTGGTGGTGGTGGGGATGGTTCTGGTGATTCAGAGGATGAAGGCTGGGGTGGGATCATAGATGAAACTGCACAAGTCATATTAGCAACACTTGGCATTATATTTGTGGTAAAATGTTTTTTTCCCTTCATCTTTGCTACATTGAGTATATTATATGCTTTATTGTAATGTCCTGAGAAAAGACATTTAGGTTTTGATTTTTCCAAGTTCAGAAATGGTGTAACCTTCCCATAATCACTATCTTACTTGATTCATTGCAGTATATGTACATCCTTACTGGTGAGGAGCTGACTCTGTTAGCAAGGGACTACCTGAAGTATCTCTTTGGAAGAGGTTACAAGAGTGTTCGTTTAACAAATGCAATGGAATGGTGGGAAAGTTTCCTGGAAAATTTCAAGCCGGAGGAATCTTACGATGATAAGTATTGGTTGGAAAAAGCAATTATTAATACCCCTACATGGTATGACAATCCAGAGAAGTACAGGCGTTTGCTTGAGGCTTACATGGAATCACAAGAAGAAGAGGAAGACGATGACGATAATGATAATGATAACGATAATGATGATGGATTATAATCCCATATTTTGTGGCAATCATCTTTCCCTTTCGCCTTTCCCTTATTTCTCTTCCTGCTCATCTTGCAAACTTGTGCTACTTTTAAGGTGAGACTAGCATTAATACTTTTTTGTTTCCCGAGATGACGAAGATCAATTTTGATGTTGTATTGTTAGCTTATAGCAATTCTTGTATAGCAGTTGAAACTTTAATCGACTTAAGATTCAAGACTTGCATTTTAGGTTGCCAAGAGTCGGAAAAGTTTTGTTCATTTGCTGGACAATAGAAAGTTTCTGTCCAGATTTTCTCATCCAAGTGAAAGTGGCAGGTTAAGCACAATATGACAGAAACATGAAAAACAATCTAAACCTTTCCATGTTTCTTCAGGCTTTAAACATGGAAATAGTTTAAATGCCTCGAAGCTGCAAAAATTCTTGTATGTTTCCAGTGACAGAAACTGAACTTACATTTCAGAAGTTTCATTTCACTTTATAGACAATTATTCTTTCACTTTGGGGATTTGTTAAGGTGCAGAGGCTACAAGAGATTCCCAGCTCTCTCTATTTTCTTAATGTACTGGTCGTGTAATATTACCGGAATGAATACATTCACTGTTTATTTCTGCATCCTGAGGCACTTCCCCATCAATCAATCCCACCTGAAGGCTGAAACTACAACGGGTTGCATAGTTATTTAGCTAAAGCTGAAGAGATGGAAACAGAAGGAGCATTTATAACTTCCTTGTGTATATGATATTAGTACAATTTTCTGATGGATATTATTTGCTTCTAAACTATTTCATGGAATGAAGGTAGAATCCAAACAATAGAATGATGTTTCTTGTCTAGCTTATGGAATCAGCCCCAAAGTATATTCCTTGACAGAAATTTTGACAAATTTCCACGAAGTTGTAGAAATTGTAATAAATTGCTACTATTAAAGTCACTACAAGTTTGATGGGCATGTTTTCAAATTGCAAGCATGAAGAGTGGAGGATTTAGTGTAGAAAATGGTGTTTACCCTTCTGAACTCTAATATAAAACATTTATGACCCAAGAACAAAATAATCAAAAAGATGTGCCCATAGATGAAGGCAATTTAATCACATTCTACTGAGCAAACAAAATCATTCATCCAATCTTCTAATGCCAATTTCAATTTCATGAAATTCTGGATCAAAAAAATCTACAACGCAAAAGGCTGAAAACAGACCGGCTGCATATTTTTCCAGATAACATTCAACCTGATCAGAGAATGGAAATCACATTTCAAAAGGGGCTGTGAAACAAAATCCCGTATCGTGTACCTCCGTTATAGTTCAAAATTGAAAGAACTTCTGTATGATCTTTTCTTTCCATTTAAGCAAAAGATCCCAGTACCAAATATCAGAAGAAAATTAAAAGCTTTCCCAGTTTATACAGAGGTGTCGGTAGCAAGAGACTTGTTCACACTCTCTTCGGCTTTTTCTTTGAACCTCCGTCCTTTTTATCTCCCTCTGCAGCCTTTTTCTTGTCCTTCCTCTCCCTCTTCTTTAGAGCTGCCATGTGAGCCTTGAGAAGAGTAGCGTAAGAAGCTTGAAAGCGCTGGTGATCCTTCGCCCCAACCTTTTCAACAAAATCAGGGGCAGCCGTTAGCCAGGAGAAACATAAATAGAGAGGAAGAGCAAGAGGAAAAACTATTGCCTCATATGATCATGCCTACTAGGCAAAGAATTGAGAATCAATGTTCTTGTAATATACATTATAATTATTACTGAACAAAATTTTGATAACTGTATCTGATCAAGTCCCCAGTATCCACGTCACTTAAAATCTTCTTACCAGGATACAATTACACAACCAAAATTCTCACAAACTTAGGAATTTGGGCACCCAAAAGAAAAATAAAATGTTTAAACAATCAATATTAATTAATAAATCTTCCTACTAAGATACAATCACACAATTTAAAAGCTCAATTCAGGAATTTTGGCAGCTGAAAGAAAAATAAAATGTTAGATTTCTATTAGTGGTAAGCTATAAAGGGAATAAGAAAAGCATCTACATCGTTTAAATATATGTTAGCATAGAGAAAGTACTTCAAACCCTTCCTCTAGTTTATCCTTTGTGATAACACAAGTTTTGGTAGTTTAAATGATAGCTGGATTTTTCATTTCACTAAATGTCACACAAGACACTGACACGAAACAGCATTGTGAAGTGGAGATCCATGCTATGAGATATTTCTAGGCTACAATCAAACAGGTTGTAGGCAAACATGAACAAACAGCAAAATCATTTCCTTTTTTCTTAAGCTGGTGTGTGAAGCCGAAGTGTGCAGAGAAAAAGGAGGGCCAGGCAGTACCTAGTTAGGAACCACTCACAGTCCCACTATGCCAGAATATATAACTTGATGTAGGATAAATAGGATAGGTTAAGGTTAATTGAGCTTTTTGCTTTATTGATTGATTTGTCAAGATTGATTTAAAAATTTATTTTGTCCTCGAGTTGTTTTAAACTTTATTTCATATTTAATCAGGATTAGAATTCTATCTCTTAAACTAGATAAAGGCTTTGGTTATTCATTGCTAACAGCATTGATTAATTATAAAATGAATCTTGGTTTTCTACCTATGGCTTCTCTATTTCTATTTTATTTTTTTGAATAATACCACCAGTGAAAATCAATCTACCTTTATAATCAACAACCTTGAAATGTTCTTTCTCAAGATTGTGAAATTTGAGTCTGTCGTTGGAAGGTGATTTTGCTGCCTAATATGTCTCAACAGCCCAAGTTTTTTCGCCCATGAAATCCAATACTGCTCCTTGTTTCACTTCCTTAAACTCTTCAACAATTGCTTATCTCAACTGGCCATAGTCATAAACAAACTCTGATGCCTAGTAAAAAACCAAATCTACAAGGCTGTAAAGACATACTTAGGCACCAAAATACCTCCTTCCAGAGACAAATTCAAAGCTAGCAAACGTACAATAAAACAAGTCAAGATTTTTAATTATTTGTTAAAGGGAGATGCTTCTCATTGGTGGGTGATTAGAAATGCTAGAAGATAAATAGAAAACTCATAGGGAGAAACCAACAACAAATTACAACAAACAGTTTTACCTCCCCTTTCTAATTCAGTGCAAAGTCTATCAGTTATAATTTTAAAAATAAATAAAATAAAATAACAGCAAACAGAATGAGAAATGATGTGAGATGTTGGTGCTCTTGCACCATTGTTTACAAATTCTTATACAAAGCTCCTTTCCTCATGTCAATTACACAATTCATATGCAGATTCAGTAAAACCATACCATAAATGCACTAACTTTATCTTTCACTTATCATAACCATCACTTTGCTTGGTATACTTCAACACGAAAATTATGTAACAACATCTAACTAGATGCAAATACGAATGACAATGCAACAGCCTATCATATCCCATATTCTCTCAAGATCTGTAAAATGTATATGAAAAAAAAATACAGAAAGCGAGACATACTGTTGTAGAAATCTTTTGTTTCCCATCAGTTGCACGGATGAGGCATCGATACTCAATGGCTTCTCCTGAAGTCGTCATTTTATTTGTTTGAACCTTAGACTTCATTGACGCTTAAAACACACGAGAACACACGAACAACAATCAACATAACGGGCAAACACCCAAAAACCTCATAATTTTGCAACCCACCTTAACTAAAACCAACAAAATGAAAACATAACATAACATGAAGAAAATAAATAAATAAACACTTACAGCGTTTGAAAGTAACCCAAACAGAGCCATTCTCTCTATTACGCTCAAACATGCTAGTCAATTCATTAAGAAACGGATCCGGTTGCAAAAAACCCTTCAAAATAAAACCAAGAAAATCACATGACGGCATGTGAAATCAAATACCCACCAAGAATTCAAGTAAAATAAACAACCCGGACAAACAAAACCAAAAGAAATTAAAATTAAAAATAAAAATAAAAAAAAATAAAAATCCAGCTACTACTTCATCAATAACGCTTAAATTATCTTTAAATCTTCCATTGGCAACTCAACTATTTAGTTCTTCAACTTACAAAGAATGAGAAAATGATTCAAAAAAAGAAATTAGCTGAAATTAAATCCTGGGCTTAAAAGTGCATGCAAGTCTAACGAATCAGAGGTTGATTATTGATTAGATTAGAAAAACACTAAAAGAAATTATTGAAGCTTTAAAAAAGAAAAAAAAAAAAANATTTTCTTGTATTGTATTTGTTGATTACTCTTTTAACCTTGTAATTGCCTATATAAAGGCAACTATTCTCCTTGTGAAAGTTAGTTCATGAAATATCAAAAACTTGGTTTAACCATTGAGAGAACTTTGTGTTCTTATTAAGATTTCTTTATCCAAGTCTTGGTAAGGAGATTTGGTGGTGAATCGATTCAAGTTGGTGGAGAATTCCTTTATGCTTGAAGTGTTCATTCTTGTCTTAACCTAAAATTGCAAGTAAGTGTGACATTGCCTCCATTTGTATTTGGCCGAATTTAAGCTTGAGTTTAGGGCATAATTTTGTGTTGTTTGTTGTTGCAAATTGGTTGGATTTGGATCAAGAAATCTCATTCGGAAACTGAGAATAATCATCATATCAATTTATTTGTTTGTACTTACAGGCTAAAATGAGTGAACAATACCCATGTCAGTACTCAATCACAGCTTTGGTGTTTCTAATGGCAGCAATAGAGTCGGATGTTTGTGCCCTTAGTACGGAAAAACATTGGGGTCAATGGAAGTTGGGCTTAAATATTAGGCTTATCACTGTAGTTTATACAGTAAGTTACCCTTAATACTCCATACCTGTTTCCATTATATTTGGCTAGGGAAAATGACCAGCGTTCTCCTCTTGTGGTATAGTTCGATGTGTAATGATTAACGATTGTACGCGTTTCAGGGAATTATTTCGGCTGGTTTGATGATGACCTTGACCTTTTGGTGTGTGCAAATGAGGCGACCTCTGTTTGTATCTGTATTTAACCCTCTCTGGCTTGTGTTAGTAGTTTTAGCTGGATCGTTATTACTGGAGGAGACCCTGTACATTGGAAGGTATATAAATATCATTAATTAATACATTCTCTTCTTTCTTTCAAGGATATGACATCACTTTAATTGATTATTCAGCCTCACATATTGAATATTATTAATTCATGAATGAATGAATACAATGGCATTGATTCTTAAAATGATCTTATAAAAGCATCATTAATTTTCAATTTGAAAAATTAATGTATGTTTGAGGGAACTTGAAGAACTTGATTTTGTTTGACATATTATTGTTTCCATACAAATATATCACATCCGAGAGTAAATTTGACAAATTATTTCAGCATAAT